CCCCCCCCCCCGCACCCTACCCCATCCCACCCCTCTTTGCCCCTCCCGGGCCCCTGCCCTTTGCTCCTGGTCCATCTTTCCTGGCCCTCCCTCTGTGCTCCTTCCCTTCTTTTTTTTTCCACCCACTCCTTCAAGATCTCCCGATGGCCAAAAACATCCGTGCGAAGGTGGCCAAGCGCTTTGGCGCGGCTCCCGCTGCCGCCGCCTCCACCCCCGCTCCTCTGCCTCGGCTTGCTGCCTCTCGGCCGACCAGCGCTGCCGCCCGGCCAGCACGCCGGACTGGCGGTCTCAAGGCGGCCTCCCGGCCACGCTTGGGCCTGGCCGGCAAGAGTCTGCCCGCCTGGGGGGGCCCCGGTCTGGATGCCTCCGACTCCGACTCCGACTCTGACTCCGACCAGGAGGGCGTCCCCATGCAGGAGCAGATGCCCGTTTGGGGAGGCGGCATGACGCTGGTCACGCATCAGGCACCGGCTCCCGAGGACAGTGCGGCTGGCGCGGGCGCCGGTACCGGGAATGGTACCGCCGTCGCGCGTGACGGCCGCCTGCGCATGGACTTTGTTATGCGGGCCGCCCGGTCGGAGAAGGCCGCCCGCAAGGCGGCAAGCATGCAGCGCGCCCAGCCGGGGGTCATCTCGACCGATCTGCTGGCGGCCGCGGCCGTTTCCGGCACGGGGGTCCATGTGCCCAAGGCCGCTGTCGATACTCGGGCTTTGGCCCTCGGCAAGGCCTTCCACCTGGCCAAGCAGACCGGCGAGGTGGCGGGCGCGCATTTGCGCGTTGATTCGGCAGCCGGGCGCGTGGCCGGCGGCAAGGCGCCCACGGCCTCCGGTGCACCTTCCCCTTCTGCCCCGGCCGCCGGGGAAGCGCCAGCTGCTTCGACCGGTCCCCGGCACCTCTCTTCCAGCAAGGCCTCCCGGCGCAAGGCCCGCGCGGCCGCCTGGTCTGACCGTATGTGCCCCCTCCCGGTTCTTGCCCTCTTCGCAGTATCTCCTCGGCCCCCGCCACTGCCGAAACCGCCTCCCCTCCCCCCCCCCTCCACCCCCCTCGCCTGACCCTCCCCAAATGCGCGTGACACATCTTTCGCCTGTCCCATTCGCCTTTCCCATCCAGATTTGGAGAAGTCGCAGAAGCTTTTCGAGGCCGAGAAGAAGGCCAAGTCCGCGGCCAAGGCCACCTCTGGTCGGACCGGACTCACGCGGGGCCTCGGTCGAGAGCTGCAGTCCAGCCTGAAAGAGGCCATGGTTTCCTCGGAAGATCCGGCCCGGCCCACGGCCGGGGCATCCAAGGCCCCGAAGGCCGGCAAGGCGTCGGCCGCGCGCGGTGGCCAGGCCCCCGCCTCCGGGCCTGTCAGCCAGACCAATCGTGTTACCAGTCGCGGAGGTCGGCGGAATGTCGCGTGCGTCCTCCCTCCCTCGCTCCCCCTGCCGAGGACTCATCTTCCCGCTGTCGGCCGCTTCTCGCCGTCGGCCCTGCCCTTTTGCCCGGCCCCTCTTGGGGTGCCCCTTCGCGCGTCCGGTCCGATTGCTGATCTTCATTCGTCCTCCCTCGCCATGCTCGTTCCCCACCTCTTCCTCCTCCTCCTCCTCCTTCTGGCCGGCTCCTCTCCGCCATGAAAACCACAGCCAGCAGGAGCTGGCCCACTTCCGCGCCGTTTTGGCACACTCCGCCTTCAAGGCCCCGGCGCCGGCTGCTCCGGGGACCAGCGCTGCCAGTGCCTCCTCCACCGTCCCCGGTGTTGGGACTCCGAACCTGAGCAATGCCTTTGAAGCCATTCAGATGCACCTGTCGACGCTCATCCAGCAGGAGAAGCTCTGATCCGGTGTGGCTGCATGGCATGCGCATGCTGTGTGTCCGCCCTGCCCCTCCCTCTTGCATGCATGGCAAACGAAGGGACCGGTGTAGGAGACCGAACACCCAGCCCATCGCACGAGGGATGGCCGCTTCCAAGGGCGTGTATCCTTCCCCCTCCCCCCCCCTCCCCCCGATGGATGTTGCCTCGAGTTGCAGGAGGGAAAAAACAAAACCAATAGACCCAAACCCCAACATGCTCTTGAGTTAAGAGCCTGTTCTGAAGGCGCAGTATGGCCGAGCGCCAAAGCGCGGTCACTGCCCAGCGAGTTTCATCGGCCGAACTTTTCACACGGTGACACAATAGAAACCCCAGCGGGAACGTGATCGACCGGGGCAGGTGCAGGGTGCAGGCGGGGGCGGGAAGGGAGCCATTGGCACC